TCATAGCTCTTTCTTTTTTTAAAACCTTTTTTTCCTTCGAAATTGATTTGATCATTAGCAAATCAAGAAACCGAAGGTTTTTCGAGACAGAGTGTAGTTACCTATATATATATATATATATATATATATATATATATATATATATATATATATATATATATATATATCAGGAGACATGGATTGAGGAATGGGAGAGTCGAATCCATTACATTCACTTACGTGCTAATAAACTTGGGAAAGGTATGAATCCTTTTCTTCTCCCCCCAGCTATGGGTAAATATAAATAGCAGGATAGACTGAGTTCTGTAGCCTTGGATGGCAACTAGTCTACCGCAGGAAGAAATGGCAATCAACTGCGGGAAAAAATCTGTTTCGTCATAGACATGATCACCTACGTGTATCACGGATGGCTGATAGGATATAAGGAAATTCAACATAGAATAGGCTGTTCTAGGGGTAGGTAGTCTCTAACAACACCACAAGTTGCTACTACACCAAAATCATTAATCAGATATACCTAAAATGTCAGCTGTATACAACCGCTTTCTCAGACTGTTGGTTATCAATCGCTTCAAGCAGGTGAAGCGTAGAGGTTTCAGTGAGGTCCTCCCTTCTTCGAAAGTGGCGCTGTATCAAATATCAAACCTCATATTACTTCAGGACTTTCAGTAGTAGCAACAGCTAAAATGGATAGCACACGAAAAGAAAATATAGACATTCCACACTACTTGAAATATAAGACGAGTAAGGAAATTTCCATCAATACTGGAAAGAATGATACGAGCTACTGGACAATGAATGCCGAATGTTTCCTTATAAGGAAACGGTTATTATTACCATTAGCATTAGAGATGAGGTGAACAGATACTACACATTGATCCCAACCTGATGACTAAAGATCGAAAAAAAAAACGTAACTAGATTAGCATTGTCTGTTCGGTCAATGAATGCCGAATGTTTCCTTATAAGGAAACGGTTAATATTACCATTAGCATTAGAGATGAGGAGAACAGATACTACACATTGATCCCAGACCGATGACTAAAGATTGAAATAAAAAGGCGTAACTAGATTAGTACTGTCTGTTCCGTCAATGAATGCTGAATATTTCCTTATGAGAAAACGACTAATATTACCATTAGCATTAGAGATGAGGAGAACAGATACTACACTTTGATCACAGCCCGATGACGATATTCAGTCACCTCCCCCCCCCACGAGGGCGTCATGTGGCACAAGGCCGGTTTAACGTGGGATAAAAAAAAATATACCCTTCGAACCCGTATAAACGGGTTCAGGGTCGGTTTACCTCCCCGAAAGAGAATCCGCAGAAGAGTGAAAAAAAGTGTAACTAGATTAGCACTGTCTGTTCGGTCAATGAATGCTGAATGTTTCCTTATAAGGAAACGGTTAATATTACCATTAGCACTAGAGATGAGGAGAAGAGTTACCACATTTTACTCCCAGCCCGATGACTAAAGATTGAAAAAAAAGCGTAACTAGATTAGTACTGTCTGTTCTGTCAATGAATGTCGAATGTTTCCTTATAAGGAAACGGCTAATATTATTATTAGCATTAGAGATGAGGAGAACAGATACTACACATTGATCCCAGCCCGATGACTAAAGAGTGAAAAAAAAAGCGGAACTAGATTAGCACTCTCTGTTCGGGCAGTGAATGCCGAATCTTTCCTTATAAGAAAACGGCTATTACCATTAGCGTTAAAGATGAGGAGAACAGATAGTACATTTTGATCCCAGCTTCCTTATAAGCATTACTACAGACTCTTTGTTTTCAGACTTGAGTTGCGGAGCTACATTTAAATCCAGTGATAAATTCCACAAAAAAGTCTCTAAAGACAAATCATGAATCTGATACGAAATACTTGTAGGACTTAATGGGGATCATCCTTCTTCGAAACTTTTCAAATGGCGCCACGGAATCACTAATAAATAACTATATCAGATTCCATAAACCACATTACTTGAGGACTTTCAGCAGCAGTAACAACGTAAATGGATAGCATATGTAACTGGATGAGAGAATGAAGACATAATCAAGATGCCGACGTTCGACAATACCTAAAAATATCGAGTAGGAAGGCAAAGAAGGAAACCTAGTTTCCTCAAAAATTGCTTTAAGAGCTTTATGTAATTTAATTATGTAATTAAATGCCTCGATTTCATTTCTTAATGTAGTGAAAAAAAACCTTGGTAATCGCAAGACAAACGACTATCGGGAACTAGTAGTCAACCGTTAGAAAACGACCTGGAGATTGGTACTAACTTGAGTATCAAACTATATTTCCCGCATAGACATTGAGACAGATTTCCAGAAAACTGTAGCGATATAAGTGATGAACAAGGAGAATCTTTTCATCAGGATATAACTTGGAACAGTTGGTATGATGTTCGCCTGAGAACCCAACTGTCAGGGTTTCAATTCTCGGTAGTGGATGCGCACTGCTGATGAGTCCCAAATACAGGACGTAACGGCCGTCCAGTGCTTTCTGCATTCTGTGGAGGTTTCTATCAGACTCGATGAATTACTTATATATATATATATATATATATATATGTAATATTAGGAAGCGTATATTTTATATATAAAGAAATAATCATACATCGAATCAATCAGCAATATTAATGCGATTAATGGCGAAATTACTTCGCTAGTAGAACATAATGTATGCATTAAAATACTGTTAATCCATTGAATGATGTGATCCTCATTTATAAAACTGTTGTCAGATGTTTCTAGTGTATATTTTTAAGGTAAGCAAGTATTTTCGAAGATCCATGTCTTCATCGTCAGGAAGGATTTTTTTTCCTTTAAAACTTGAAGACTAAATAATTGTTTGGAATCCGAAAGATGTTTTTTTTTAAGAATGTGCTATTTATTGACAGTTGTACAATCTCTCTTCTCTTTAAAATAACATTTAACTCAGTTGAAGAGTCTACCAAGGTGTTAAATGGTGGAAACCAAAATATAATTTTTTTCCTATAAACTGTTCATCATTTAGCAAAATGTGTTGTGGACAAATGAATCTAAATTTGAACTTTTTGGCAGTAAAAGGGGCCTGGGGAAAGATTAAAAAATAAAAGTAAATACAGTGTAGTTACTGAAATTTTAACTTTTATTTAAAAAAAAAAATCTCTCATTTTAAGGGTTTCATTTTTAAGAGATACAGGGTTGACCCTAATTTTTCGCCTGAATATATATATATATATATATATATATATATATAAGGCAAGATGTGTGTGTGTGTGTAACGAATGCACGGCCGCAATTTTCGACCGATTTGCACCAAAATTTATATGCATATGTTCCAAGTTAGTGGGAAGGCCAAGACCGACGTTGTATTTCCCAACTAACATCCATAGTGGAAATAATCGATTTTTTCATGCTTCTACGGCAGTTTTCATGTAGTTGGCGGCCATTTTGTACTGGTCAGAGTGAGAGCTTATAGGTGGCTGCCACGAATAGGCAGGAAGATTCTATTGGCCAGCGTGAGAGCCGACAGCTGACTGACACGAATGTTAACTGGCATGCTAGCATGCAAAAAGAAAAAAAATCGATAGCTGCATTCGTCACAAGTGGGAAAAATTTAAATCTGCATGGCACTTTACTCCAATTGGTTCATTCGCTTGCTTAAACACAACGTTGATTCTGATTCCGCAGAACTGGGTTGGGTGTGAAAAAGTATTTGTTGTTAACATTCTTTTTTCATTCAGTTTTTCCAGTTACGAGTCCTTTTTTTAAGAGCTGATCGTTTTGTGTTCATTTTGTTTAGTTCTTTTTTCGTAACAGATTTAATGTTTAGTATCGAGCTTAGAAAAAATCCGCAGTCTGAGATAGGCAAGAAGTAAGGCATGTAGCAACATCAGCACGGCAAAGGGTACTCCTTTAAAGGCAAGGAGGAGCAAAAATATTTTAAGTCAAGTGATAACGATTGCTGTATGAGTCGTACGATATTTGAATCAAGCACGGGCAACGCCGGGCCATGCTGCTAGCATATATAAATATATATATATATATATATATATATATATAATTGTTGCATGCGTGGCAGTGTTCAACGTCAACCTTGTGCCAAGCGGTTTCACTTTTTGTACCATAGCAAGAGCCTCGATATTTTCTGATCAGATCTCGTAAACGTGAAGTTAAGACCCAGAAAAAAAAGAAGCTCTTCTTAATAACGTAGCAAAAGATATATATTTAATAAGAAAAAAATGGCAATAAGCAAGAAAAGAGGATTGACCTGCAAGAAAATACTTGAAGCTGTTGCTTCAGATTCAGAAAGAAAATTGTCTGAACTACCATCTTTGAGTTAACGACATAAAATTGGTAACAAGTATCTTCACATTGCTTCGACTTATTTGTGCTTTCTTCAGTCTCAGGGAGAATGTGAAGGCTGAGTTTTGGTTTTGGGGGTCAGCGCTATAGACCGTGAAGCCAATCTTCTCATTTTCTCTGCTCATTTTTCTCTGCTATGGTTGCTGATATGAGAGCTGTGGAGACGGCCACACTGTACAAAACTTCCCTGATAATAATATCGAACGAAAACAACGTACAAGGATAAAAAGGATGAGGTTGGGTTGCAAAAGTAGGTATACAGTAATAAAAAACACAACGTATTGTATTGATTTTAGAAAGATATGAATAATAAACATACCAATCCCTCAAATGTTCAAACTATTTGACCTGTCATTCACACAGTCTTTTTTACCCGCGAAAGATTTATTATTATTTATGAAAAAATAAATAATATATATATATATATATATATATATATATAATTGTTGTGGCCTGTTTAAGGGCCTGAAAGAAAGACAAGGAAGACGAAGGTAGGTTGAACAAATATATTGAAGATATAGACAAAACAATAGTGTTAGTAATAAGTAGATTAACACTATGTCTACTACTCCACTCCACACTCTTCTCATCCGATTCTCGCAGTTTGTATTTATGAGAGGAGGAAGAGTTCATTCGGCTGTAGAAGGGTTTACAACAATACTTTCTTTCTTTCTTTCTTTCTTTCTTTTTCTTTCTATCTTTCTTTCTTTCTTTCTTTCTTTCTTTCTTTCTTTCTTCACACTATCCTTCTTTTGATTGTTTCTTTTTTATTTATACAACACTTCTTTCTGTCTATTGTTCTTTCTTTATAAAAGCCTTTTTTCTTCCGTTCCTACTTTCTTTCTACATGTTTTCCTTTCTTTTTCTTTCATTTTCTACAGATAATACTTTGATTGACATAATTCTTTCTTTCTTTCTTTTTTCTTTCTTTTAGTTCTTTTCATTTTCTTTTAATTTTCGTTATACTATCATTTTTTTCTTTATTATAAAATCCTTTCTTTCTTTCTTTCTTTCTTTCTTTCTTTCTTTCTTTCTTTCTTTCTTTCTTTCTTTCATTCTTTCTTTCTTTCTTTCTTTGCATTATCCTTACCCTAACCCTAACCCTTTCGTTCATATTTTACACAATCCTTTCTTTCTTTCTTTCTTTCTTTCTTTCTTTCTTTCTTTCTTTCTTTCTTTCTTTACATAACCTTTTCTTTCTTTCTTTCTTTCTTTCTTTCTTTCTTTCTTTCTTTCTGTTGTGGCCTGTTTAAGGGCCAGAAAGAAAGACACGGAAGACGAAGGTAGGGGTGAACAAGTATATTGAAGATATATACAAAACAATAGTAGTGTTAGTAATAAGTAGATTAGCACTGCGTCTACTACTCCAATCCACTCACTCTACCCGACTCTCGCAGTTTGTATTTATGAGAGGAGGAAGAGTTCATTCTACTGTAGGAGGGTTTACTACAACAATAATAAATATTATGAAAATAAATTATGAAAATAAACAAATATTAAAAATGATTTTAATGAATTCTACATTTAAAAAAATTACAATTTAACAAATTCTACAAGGCGCCATGTAAAAAAAAAAGCGGCAATTTTATTATCACTGTTTTATCTTTCAGGAATAATTGACCTTGAATAACCTTGAACAATCATTCGACTCTCGTGTAATTGCTTAACTCTGATTGGTTCTTTTATGATTGATCAATGGCTGCACGAACATTTGACTTGTCATTTAAAGGTTGTTAGCAGACAACTTTCGTCTTTAAGGACTTCATATGGGGCTTGGTTGATTTGCCAGACTGTGAACGGTGTTGCCTTGGTTTAAAAGAAACGGCGTCGCATGCCTTCTACCATTGCCCCCGGGTCCACCCCTTATGGGACCATGTCGGCGAGCTGACGGATCGTCTCGCTCCCGAAAAGCTTGTGCCCATTGATCGCGCATACGTGTGTGACAATGTGTCGCCCCCGTATTCCAGGGTGAAACGGATTGTGTTTCTGACGCTGCTGTCCACGGCCCGATTGGTGATATGGACGACGCGACAGGAGGAAGTCTTGCGGGGCATTCGTCTTTCTTATCAGGATCTGATCCGATTCTTTGAGCATCAGCTCAATATGAAGATTAGAACTGATAGAAAGCGCATGCATTCGACAGTCTTCAGCGAAAGGTGGGTGACTGAAGCGAGCTTGGTTCGTTTGAACGGGGCTAGCCTTGATTTTCTCTTTTAGGTCAAGACTACTTCACATCGGCGTGGTTTCCTATGGAGCCTTCCCCTTGGTTAGGTTAGACAAGCTTTTGTGCACCTAGTTAATGTGAGTAAGTGTTGTTCCCGGCCTGTCCCCGGCCACATCTTTAGTTATGATCCAGCCTGAGATTCCCAACCTCCCCAGTTTGTTTTTGGCCTCGTTTTATCTCGACTGGGTCAGCTTTATATTTTTTCCATGCCCGTATGATTTTTTTATCCTTTTCCCACTCCCTTAACGAGAGAGCCTCTTGATTTTGCCCCATGGCAGAATACAGCGGCCTCTTTGGTTTTGAGGGTGGGACGGTCCCTACTAACATCAGTTACGTTTAATTTGATTTGTGTTAATATTTTAGTTTGTTATTGGGTTCATCTCCCCCCCCTCTCATTTTTTCATCATAGATTTTTATATATATCTTTTAGTATCATTAAATTTTTATGACACGGGGCGCGTTTTGTAGGTCTCCCTAGAGAGAATGTGGTATTATGGTGCATGGAGGATTGATTGGTGACGGACGAGTTCTTGTGGCGAATGTGGAAATTGTAATGAATGAATGGGTCGTGAATCGGATTAGCTAGGTATAGGATAGTTAGTTAAGACCAGCTTTAACCCCTCCCCTTTTTCGGCCTTGTGACATAATTGTAATTTTTTACAATAAATATTGACAACTTTCGTCTTTCGTTCGGTCCATCTCGTATGGCTAAACTACTCAGTGATTTTGAGCGTCATGTTACCGTACTTTTCAAAAGAGGATTGACAAAATGTGCAGAAATTCTTCCTGAAATTTTCAGTCACATCAGTCGTCACCAGTTTTCAACGGTTGGCTCACGTCTGAACTTGCCACTTTTTTTACTGGGCCCCTCTGTAGTATTAGTATTAGAATCTAAATCTTATTTAATACTATTATAATAATGGTGATACTGGTATAATACACACACTATACCTACTTTTGCTGTCCCCTGTATTTGTTAATAGTGTTGTAGGAAGTGAAATTATAGATCCGTTCACATAAGATGAAGGTGTCATGATAAAGAGAGAGAGAGAGATAGAGAGAGAGAGAGAGAAAGAAAGAGAGAGAGTGAGAAAGAAAGAGAAAGAGAAAGAGAAAGAGAGAGAAAGAGAGAAAGAGAGAGAGAGAAAGAGAAAGAGAGAGAGAAAGAGAGAGAAAGAGAAAGAGAGAGAGAAAGAGAGAGAATGAGAAAGAAAAGAGAGAGAAAGAGAGAGAGAAAGAGAAAGAGAGAAAGAGAGAGAGAAAGAGAGAGAGAAAGAGAGAGAGCGAGAAACAGAGAAAGAGAGAGAGAAAGAAAGAGAGAGAAAGAAAGAGAGAGAAAGAAAGAGAGAGAAAGAAAGAGAGAGAGAGAGAGAAAGAGAGAGAGAAAGAGAGATAGAGAGAGAAAGAGAGAGAGAGAGAAAGATAATATTCGGCTTTGAAAAAAGGAAAGGAATACCCATTCTTTCTTTCTTCTAAACGTCTGTTTTTCTTTCTTTCTTTCTTTCTTTCTTTCTTTCTTTCTTTCTTTCTTTCTTTCTTTCTTTCTTTGTGCCATGTCCTTTCAAGACGTAGGCGATCATGGCTCTCCACCTTCCTCTATCCCTTGGAGCTCTGAACATGTTCCTACCCTCTGCTTCTCCCCAGAAACGTATGGTCCATCCTTAAAAAACGAGAATGAAAAACAATATTCAAGCAAAGAGATCGAGCAAGGAATAAAAATTACAACAAGTAAATACGATGCAGTAAAAAAGTTAAGAAAACCATTGGCCGAACGACAGATAAAAGTTATAGAATATGAATGAGCCCATATTAAGATTTAAAATAGTAAAATAATTTATTCAGGTATATCTCTTCTTTGCTCAAATCTTTTATATTTATTTATGTATCCCCAAAATATTTATTAGCAATATTTTTAAATATAAGTGTTCTATGGATATGCGGTGGTTTAATAGGAGTGAATCTATCTCATCTCCCCAGCTATAGGTTAAATAGCAGTAACTGCATCAGGAAAACACATTGTTATCTTTAAATAGCCTACAAAGGGGTGATAAACCGTAAGAAACAAAATAAAAATGAAACAACATATCAATAACTCAATATATACGGAAGAAGTTACGTGATCACAGATATAAAAACCTCATTCACTTGATTTAGATAGTCACATTTGGATATCATAAGATTTATTTCTGTTTGATTGATAATGTTTTAACTTTGACCTTGTACTATAAAATGTCTGAATGTGCAACTACACCTTTGGGCAAATTAATTGAAACAACCGCTTTAGTTTCCTTTCTTTCATCATACGGTCAGTTTTAGACCCACTCGAGTGACAGGGTGTAATCGGTGTGCAGTAATATGAATTTATTTTCGATGTGTATAATGAAATTCTTTTGGCCTTGAAAAATACTGCGTCATCCGTGATTGCATCAGATTTTCATCACCCCCAGACACTATTGTCTTGATTGTCGATTAATTGTCCTACGGCCATTGCCTGTGATGGAAGTTACTCCAAGGAAACGTACGAAAATTGTAACTCTGTACGAACACACTGATTTGCTCACTGGTGACGCTTGCCAAAGTACTATATATAGACTGGCCCCGAAACTTTTCGAGAATCTGTGGTCAATCTGCAAGGGACGTCTTCATGGAATGTACATACGATGTACTAACATGTGCACTGGGTCATGTTTCATTGAAAAGTCACGAAAAAAGCAAATAATAACGAAATTATTCGTTTTGTTTTAATTAATTTGCAATAGAAGAGAGACGAGCGTCAGGACAAAGCCCAGTTGTCCAGCTGAGGTTTTCGTAGCAAGTAGGCTTTTTAGTGGGTAGACTTGCCGTTCCGACGCCCAACTGATTTTGAATGCAGTTATAGTCTTTCAAGCAAGGCTAGAAATCCCGGTCTGCCATGCTATTCAGCGATTGTTGGGCGTGGTGAAACGAATCCATGCCTTTTCTAAAAGTATTTATACGAAAGTGAGTACAAAGGCCTCTGCCGAAATTTGAACTCGGCATGCCGATTCGACTTTTCTCGCCAATGACCACTACGCTACACATTCTTCTTATATGTTAATGCAGTATTCAGGCGCACACAAAAAATATCTTAAAAAATCCAAAAATACGTCTTTAAAAACCCGAAAATACTCTAAATAACCAACAAAGTGTTGAAAATCAGTAAAAAATCAATTCAATCGATCAACATATATAACAGAATTCAACCATAAAAAGAAAAAATCATTCATTTGATTTCAAATGTCACCTTTGAATGTCATCAAATGCCTTTCTGTGTGGACATTGAACGACCTCGACCAGAATTTGAATTCTGTATACTCATCAACTTTACGAGCTGGCAACCATTACGCTATGACGTCTTCTCATATGGGACAATCAGTTGAGCATTAACAAACTTACTGACAAAAAAACAAAATGGTACGTACACTGGACTATTACGAGCCTCGTCAAATGTCATCTGGAGACAACAGATGCCAGAGGAAGAACTTACCACAGATTAAGGACACAATATGTTAAAGGTTAATGCAGTTTAGTGGTCAGTGCTGGAGAAGTAAAGAAAAAAAGTACTTCATCAGTTTATGCGACGAGATGCAAATCCTGAGAAAAGCATCAAGGAGTAGACTAGGAAGGCCCTCGATCGAGGAACACAGAGACGGCACTAGAATCAGAAGGGGAGAACTTAGAGCTATGGGTGATAGAAATGCTTTCAGGGAAGTGGTCTTAGATAGATAGATAGATAGATAGATAGATAGATAGATAGATAGATGCAAACTTGTTGAGATAGATAGCTAGGTATGAACAGATTGAGAAACTGATGGATATGTATTAGTTGAGATAGATAAATAGAACTGACAGAAGTCTCAGATAGATATGAACAGATTTCGATATAGATATGAACTGACAGATAGATAGATAGATAGAGTGAAATATACTGAGATACCTAGGTAGGAACAGACTGAGATAGATAGATAGATAGATAGATAGATAGATAGATAGATAGATAGATAGAGAAATATGAACAGCCAGCGAGATAGATACATATGTACAGACTGCGAGATAGATATCAACTAGTATATATATATATATATATATATATATATATATATATATATAGAGAGAGAGAGAGAGAGAGAGAATAGATAGATAGATAGATAGGAACAGACTGAGATAAGATCATATTGAGAGATAAGGTTAGATTGAGATATATAGATGAATTAAGAAAGATAGATAGATAGATAGGAACAGACTGAGATAGGATCATATTGAGAGATAAGGTTAGATTGAGATATATAGATGGATCAAGATAGATTGATAGATAGATAGATGCATACATACATACATACATACATACATGCATACGAACATAGGTTCATACTGAGAGACATTGGATTAGATAGATAGATAGATAGATAGATAGATAGATAGATAGATAGATAGATAGGATCATACTGAGAGACAATGGATTAGATTGAGATAGATAGATTGCTGGAGGACGCTATGTATGGAAAGAGGACTCTGCACTATGCCACAGAAGCAGGAAAAACCTAGTCATGGCTGTTATTAATTTCTGTGATCACATCACACCCTTATATCTGGCCACCTAACTCCCCAGACTGCAACCCTCTTGATTATTATGTGTGGGACTCAGCTGAGCGAGTGGCCAACAAATCACATTGTTAAACCAAAGAAGAACTGAAGGCAAGGATTATAGCAACATTCCCCAATTTAAACAAGGAGACCGTCCAGAATTGTTGCAGGAGGTTCTGAAGTAGCCAGGTTGAAGCGAATGATGATTTTATTGAATAAATTTACTCCTTAGTATTTCAATGTATTTTTTGTGTAATTTTGGTAAATATATCTGTTAAAATGACATGTCTGCATTGTTATTATTTTTGCGTCATTTAAACAACAATATCTCCATCCCACCAGTACACCCAACACACCCTCATATATATATATATATATATATATATATATATATATATATATATATATATAAAGCTTTTTGAATTTGTAGGTCTGATGAATTGGATCGTAATTACGATTCCAATGTAATAAATTATAACCATGGAATATTAGTGTTTAAGCCTTTTTATTATATTCTTACTCTGTCCTGGACATTGAGTTCTTCCTGGATTCTGTCCTCTTGGAAATTTATATATATATATATATATATATATATGTATGTGTATATATATATTTATATATATATATATATATATATATATGTGTGTGTGTGTGTGTGTGTGTGTGTGTGTGTGTGTGTGTATTGTAATATTATTATCTATCTATCTATCTATCTATCTATCTATCTATCTATCTATCTATATAAGTATTAATCTTTTAAATAACACCAGAAAATCTCATTCGATATTACTCCCTTTAACCACCACCACACGTCGATGTCTTTCTGGGGATTCATTGATGGAGTCAGCACAGTTTCTATGGGTCTCATAGTATCTTCTATTTTACCTTCAGAGATACAAAATGTGTGGCACGGAGTAAAACAGGCCTCAGTCTCAAGAACTGCTCACAAACATTATTTGTATCTGGTGATGAAGGAGGTCGTTTGTCCTTGGTAATGAAGGCAGGAAAATTGTTTCTGCGCCACTACTGTATTAAACTAGCAGTATGGCTCGTCGCTTCGTCTTGGGGAAGTATCAAATGTCCATCACTATGCAGGAAGTCTTGAGTGCACTCTTGATAAATATTCTATTGATTCCAAGTTGTTGCAAATTTTACTGCAATATCTTGGAAAATATCCAAGATTTCATCTAAAATCATGAAATTATTAATTGTAATCAAAATTATCACAATTTGTGGAAAAACGAAGATGAACGATCCCGAATCCATTTTAGTAACTGCTTACTTTTTTTTGAAGCCTCATTGTGGCTGCTGAAAGAAACTGTTTCTTTCTTATCTTGTTGGGCGACATCGCAAGATCATTTTGATATAGCCAGAGCATTGGTCTCTTCATTGGTTCTTAGACAATTATCTCATTGACCTTCTTGTATTGCACCTGATTTTTTCACACACCTGTTTAATGAGTTTTTGGCGATCTGGAGGTGCTAGAATGCTCTGGTTTCGGTCTATCTTTAATAGAAGAAGTCTCGTTGTATCAATCGATGGTCCTTTTCAAAAACATTCTATTGATTCCAAGTTGTTTTGAAGCTTTAAAAATCTCACGTGGAATCAATCCGTTTTCATGTTGCCCGGTGATGTGCTTTCTTTTAATTTCTATAGACATCGCCCTCTTAGCATCAATTTACAATGATGCTTTCTTTTGTTCATATATCTAATGTATAATAATAAAAAATAATTTTGGAGAGCGAAATATGTTGTAAAATTTCCAGATTTTCATCTGATATCAAGAAAATACGCAATTTAATCAAAACGGTCATAATATATGGAAAACGAAATTGTTTCTGAAAATAGCTGCCTAAACCATAACTGATGCCGGTTTAGGGGTTCTGAGACATTTTCCGGAAGTGGCATGTGCTGACTGCCGACTTATTAAAAGAACGCCACCATTTCGATGATCTGTTCAACTGTAAACAATTTCTCATCTGTGATCCCGAATCCATTTCAGTAACTGCTTACATTTTTGAAGCCTCTTTTTCATCGTGGCTACTGAAAGAAACCGTGTCTTGTTTATCTTCTTGGGCGACATCTCTAGATCATATCGACATAGGTTTAGCATGGCTCTCTCCACTGTACCGACCCCCTTAACTAATTATCTCATTGACCTTCTTCTATTGCACCTGATTTTTTCACACACCTGTTTAATGAGGACGCTCTGGTTTCGGTCTACTTTTAATGGAAGAAGTCTTGTATCGTTCGATGGTCCTTTTGATAAACATTCTATTCATTCCAAGTTGTTTTCGATCTTTAAAAATCTCAGGTGGAGTCAGTCCGTTTTCATGTTGCTCAGTGATAATACTTTCTTTTGGTTTCTGTAGACATTGTTGCCATCAAAATAAAACAAACAATTTGAAACGAAACAAATGGCATACGTTGTTGGGCGAATATCGAACGATACACATCAATGTAATAACCAAATATTTAGAAGTAGAATTCATTTGAAATTTTTAACAGAATTAATGCTGTACCCAATATATCTCTATATATAAAGTCGTAGCCCCTCTGTCTGTCCGTTATCGAACTCTTCCTAGCGTTTTCGAGATAGACCCCCACCCATGACCATATATATTCTGAAACTATATTACCCAGGTTACTTGGATTAGCATTTTTCATTTTGATCAAAGAGGGTCCTCGGGATGGGGGGGGGGGGTCATACCCATCCCCGAAATTTTTTTCCCCATTGACATAAATTAAATTTAAATTTGAACAAGGTAATGTCTCCTAAATTACTTGGATGAATATTTTTAATTTTGATCAAACGGAATCCCCCGAGGAGTGGAAAATACCCCGGCACACTGCAAATTATTTTCCATTTTGATGAGGAAAGTTTTACTGTATCGATCGATTGTCCTTTTGATAAACATTCCAAGTAGTTTTCCATCTTTAAAAAACTCAGGTAGAGTCAGTCCGTTTTCATGTTGCTCAGGGATCATACTTTCTTTGGACTTCTGAAGATATTGTCACCAGTAAATTAAAACAATTTGAGACAAAACAAATGGAAAACGTTGGACGAATATTAAACCATAAAAAAAAACAAAAATAAAAAAAAACAATGTAATAACCAAAAATTTAGAAGTAGAATTCATTTGAAGTTTTTTTTAACAGAAATTATGCTGCACCCAAATATGTCGCTAAAGATAAAATCGTAGCCTTTCTTTGTTTATTCGTTATCGAACTCCTCCTAGGGTTTTGGAGATAGACGCCCACCCCCATAAGCATATATATTATGAAACTACATTACCCAGGGGACTTGGATTAGTATATTTCATTTGCGCAAAGATGATCCCCGTGGAACACAATCCCCACCCCCTAATTTTTTTCCATTGATATAAATTAAATTTAAATTTGAACAAGGGAATGGCTCCTAGGGTACTTGGATATGTTGCAGTTTTTCGTGTATATATGTTTATTAGTGATCCAACCCAAATGACTTGACTCATTTTATAGTCCACTAATAGAAGGTTAACCAATCAGAAGACGTAGAATATTCAATCCGTCGTGTATAAAGGCGGCCATTTTGTTTACTCTCTCCGAATGTCCAGTGCTAACTTGTCAGGCGAAAGAACAGAAGGAAGAACTACTAAACTACGCTCTGCTACTTTTACTGGGATATCCACTGCTAACCCGAACTACGCTTTCCTACTGTCTTCGAAATATTCACCGCTAACCTCTGGATTCTATACTCAAAGACGACCGTCATCATGAACAACAGGATAAATATATTTCATTTTGATTAAATGGGGTCAAGCTACCCCTAACTCTGCATTCTGTTGAGGATTCTTGTTCTAGACTCAATGAAATATTATGTGAAATTATTCAAATCCCCAAAAGTTTTATTACTTATAAACCTATGCTCTGGAGGGAGCGGCTTGGTGAGAGAAGACGTTGCTCCTGGGGTCGGTTCCTGTGGGTTATGCATAATTGGATGAGTATCACCACCAGAGTTAAGAGTAGAGGCGCTATATTGAATCTAGTTGCTTTCCTCTTCGTTACTGAGGCCCGCTGGTGCGACACTTGATTTGTATTGGGATGGTCCGGGTTCGATTCACAGTAGTGAATGCGCACTGTCGATGAGGCCCAAATAGGACGAGACAGCCATCCAGTGATTTCTGCATTATGTTGAGGATTCTTGTTCTAGACAATGAATTATTAGGTGATATATATATATATATATATATATATATATATGGTGGACTCTCCGGTCGTATTCGATGTATCAGGGTCAGCAGCTCAGTTCTTAGGAACCGAAAGACAGACACTGGCACATGAGATTTGATTATAGTGGTGAAGGCATTGTTTAAGACCATCCACACTTTTTGTAGGGACGAATACAGAGACCTGGTGCACTAAGTGCCACAAGGTCCCCAAACGACCCTCCGCAAGTTTTGAATTCAGAGTTGTCCTTCTCTTAGACCAGTTGCTATCAAAGGCTATAGAACCCAGTTTGACCTGCCATTTACTCATAGCTGGAGGGATAAGAAGAGGATTCATACCTTTCCGAAGGGTATTCGCAGGTAAGTGAATGTAATGGATTCGACTGGATTTCGTACTCGGCTTACCGATTCCTTAATCACTATCCACTACACCGTATATATATATATATATATATATATATATATATATATATATATATATATATATATATATATATTTAATTTAAAGTAATAATTATTTTAGTTGCCCCTGACGAGTGAACGGAGTTATTACTCGAGGTCCCATTTACAAAATTAAATCGGGATGCTGAAGTTAACATTAATTAGCTCAATGAAAAATTTTATATTTTATTAATCCCCCTCTTTCTCATTATCTATCTATCTATCTATCTATATATATATATATATATATATATATATATATATATATATATATATATAGTGGACATTGAAGTCAACACCAGAGGCGACATTCTGTTTCCTGCTAAAAGCAATCGTCAGGCCATATGCGTTGTGTTTTTGAGCGGCTTTTTTTTTTATATTCAGGTCAGTGCTGCATTAGTCCAGTGGCTATTGAGTGGTAATAAATTTATATTTACATACGCTCTGTTCTTGATATTGAGCACGTTTATCCTTAAATATAGCACACCCATAAATATAGCATATACTATATTTTATCTCAAACGCACATCTATCTATCTATCTATCTATCTATCTATCTATCTATCTATTTGTGACACTGTAACTCTGTTAATCTATCTATCTATCTTAATCTATACATGACACTCAGTCACTCTGTTAATCTATCTATCTTAATCTATTTATGACAAGCAGTCACTCTGTTAATCTATCTATCTATCTATCTATGACACTGTCACTCTGTTAATCTATCTATCTATCTATCTATCTATCTATCTATCTATCTATCTATCTATCTTAATCTATACATAACACTCTGTCACTCTGTTAATCTAATTATCTATCTTAATGTATTTATGACAAGCTATCTATCTATCTATCTATCTATCTATCTTAATCTATTCATGACACTGTCACTCTGTTGATCTATCTATCTATCTATCTATCTATCTATCTATCTATCTATCTATCTATTTAACAAATGACACTGAGTCATTTGATGTTAACTGTTAACTTGCGATTCAGAATGACACTGTTAGGGTCGGTGTCCCTATACAATCTTTATGTTCTTATTGCTTGATTTGGTCTCCTATTTCAGATTTCTTCATACCATAGGCATTCAGTCCAAATTATTCAAAATTGCCATGAATCCGAACTGTGTTTGCACACTTCGATGTGGCGTGATGGTTAACAAGCTCGTCTCGGAAGTTCAATTACTACTGGATAGTGAGCTCGATCATCACTACGTGCCCCATACTTTCGGCCTTGTGTCACATCTACGCTTGCTCCTAGTATATTACTATATATTGGACACCTGGACGTGGTGTAATGGTTAACAAGCTTGTCTCGCTAGATTTATTAGCAGTGAGTTCGGTCCTCCATAATTTCGATAATATGTCACATCTAATCTTCGCTTAGTAGACCATTTTCTTATGGGCACGTGGTTTAATGGTTCGGATGCTTGTCTTACTAGATCAATTACTACTGGATAGTGAGTTCGATCATCACTACGTGCCCCATACGTTTGGCCTTGTGCCACTTCTAAGCTTAGAAAATCATCTCGAACATACAATTAATTGTTGATCAAGACTGATGACACTACATTTCTCGGAACAGGGCCCCGTAAGGACCCATTTACATCAACAAGAACACATTGCGACTTCTATGCGTAAAATACTTCTCGAAAACACAAACATAATAAATACTTCTATCAGGTCATCCC